TTCTGCAAAGAAGGCACCTGAAATTTTGGTGGAGATTGCAGTTAAATCTGAAGATCAATTTGGGGAGTATTGCCATGTTCACAATATTAAGTCTTATAATCTGTGAACTTGGATGTCTTTCCATTTAAATCTTTAATTTTTTTCAGCAATGTTTTGTAGTTTTGGGGTTTTTTGTTTTGTTTTTTGCCTTTGAAATAGCAGATGTTAAAGAATAGTTAGCTATTGTTTTTATAATATTACATTTTAAATTTATTTTTTAAATGGGAGCATCATTGGTTTAGGGAATTCCATGGTCTCATAGAATGAGTTGGGAAGTGTTCCCTCTTCTTCTATTTTTTGTGTTTTGGGTTTTTTAAAAATATTTATTTTAAAATATTATTTATTTTTGGTTGCACTGTCTTTGTTGCTGTGCATCGACTTTCTCTGGTTGTAAAGAGCAGGAGCTCCCCTCTAGTTTTGGTGCCCGGACTTCTCTTGTTGCAGAGCATCAGCTCTCGAGCTCAGTCGCAGGAGTCGTGGCACACGGGCTTAGTTGCCCTACAGCGTGTGGAATCTTCCCGGACCAGGAATTGAACCCATGTCCCTGCACTGGCAGGGGGGTTCTTGACCACTGGGCCACCAGGGGAGGCATTATTTATCTGTCTATCTATGCCAGGCATGCAGGATCTTCTAGTTGCAGCATGCAGGATGTTTAGTTGTGGCAAGCGGACTGTTACTTGCGGCACGTGGGGTCTGTTTCCTTGACCAGGGATCAGGCCTGGGCCGCCTGCCGTGGAAGTGCGAGTCACTGGACCACCAGCGACGCCCCTCCTCTTCTGTTTTTATGAAGAGTTTGAGACCAGTTGGAATTTTTATGTTTTAAATGTTTGGTAAAATTCATCAGTAGACCCATTTGACCCAAGCTTCCCTGTGTGGGGAGTTGTTTTTAATTACTAATTTAACCTCGTTAATTGTTACTGGTCTAATTCAGATTTTTTCTTCTTTGGTCAGTTTTTGTATTTTGTGTCTTTCTAGAAATTTGTCCATTTCATCTGAGTTGTCTGATTTATTGGCATATAGGTGACCATGGTATTCCTTTACAATCCTTTTTACATCTTGAAGGTTGGTAGCAATGTTCCTTCTTTCATTTTCAATTGTACCAACTTGAGTCTTCTCTTTTTTCCTTGATCAGTCTAACTAAAGTTTTGTCACTTTTATTGATCGTTTCAATAATCAACTTTTAGTTTCTCTATTATTTTTCTGTCCTCTATTTCATTCATTCCTTTTCTAATCTGTATTATTTCTTTCCCTCTGCTTGCTTTGGGTTTAGTTTGCTCTTTCTTTTCTACTTTCAAAGTGGAAGTTCAGGTTATGGATTTGATATCTTTCTTCTTTTTTATACTTTACAGGTAAAAGTTTTCTTCTAAGCACTGCTTTAGCTGCATCCATAAGTTTTGATAAATTATGTCTTCATTGTGTTTTCATTCATCTCAGTATTTTCTAATTTTCTTGTTATTTCTTTGAGCCATTGGTTACTTAGGAGTGTAATAATTGACTTAACAATTATTGATTTCTGCTGTACAGTAAAGTGATTCAGTTATACATATATATACATTCTTTTTCATATTCTTTCCCATTATGGTTTATCACAGCATATTGAATATAGTTCCCTGGGCTATACGGTAGGACCTTGTTTATCCAGTCTGCATATATATCATTCTTGGAGCTATACAGTAGGACCTTGTTATCCAGTCTGCATATATATAGTCCCCTGGGCTATACAGTAGGACCTTGTTATCCAGTCTGCATATATATAGTCCCCTGGGCTATACGGTAGGACCTTGTTATCCAGTCTGCATATATATAGTTCTCAGGGCTATACAGTAGGACCTTGTTATCCAGTCTGCATATATATAGTTCCCTGGGCTATACAGTAGGACCTTGTTTATCCATATTCCGCATATAATAGTTTGCATCTGCTTGGGCTTCCCTTGTGGCTCAAACAGTAAAGAATCCACCTGAAATGTGGGAAACCTGGGTTCGATCCCTGAGTTGGGAAGATCCCCTGGAGAAGGGAATGGCTACCCACTCCAGTATTCTGGCTGGAGAACTCCATTGGCAGAGGAGCCAGGCAGGCTATATAGTCCCTGGGGTCACAAAGAGTCAGATATGACTGATCTGACTCGCATCTGCTAACCCCAAACTTCCAATCCTCTTCTCCACCTCCCTTCCCCCTTGGCAATCACAAGTCCGTTCTCTATGTCTGTGAGTCAATTTCTGTTTCATAGATAAGTTCATTTGCATCATACTTTAGATTGATGTAAGTGACATAATAAGGTATTTGTCTTTCTCTCTCTGACTTACCTCACTTAGTATGATAATCTCTAGAGGCCCGTCCGTGTTGCTACGGGTGCCGTTATTTCATTCTTTCTCACAGCTGAGCAGGATCCCAGCGTACACGCACCACACCTTCTTTACGCAGTGGTCTGTCAGTGGCCACTGAGGTTGTTTGCGTGCTTTGTCTTTGTAGATAGTGTTGCTGTGAACATAGGGGGTGCGTGTATCTTTTTTAATTATAGGAGAACATACTTTATATGATTTAAATTTTTAGCTCTTTGAATTTATCATAGTGACTTCAAAACGTTTCTCTCTGAAATCTAACATCTCTATCCTCTCACAGGCATTTTCTGTTGCCTGCTTTTTTCCTGTGTATGGGTCACACTTTGTTTCTTTGCATATCTCATAATTTTTTTATTGAAAAGTGAACAAAAATATGTTAAAATATACCTAAAATACCTTTTAGGTAATATATTGGGGCAAGTCTGGATATTGATTCTTGGCCTCCACCATGAGACTTGTCTTGGTCACTTGCTTGTTTCTTTCGTGACTTGGCTGGGCTGTTTTAATGAGGCCTGCTGCTCCTGCCGTGTGAAGCCACTGATGTCACCGCCCCGCGGGCACAGCCGCAGGCACGCCCACCGCCACCGTGGGTGCTGGTGGTGTCAGCACGGCTCCCTGTGGCCGTCTCTCTTGCTGAAGTGCTATCTGTCTGCCTCTGCTGGTAGCATACCCAGCTGCTCATACTCATTGACTGCTAGCCAACTGCTCTGTAATGTTTGACACGTGGGGCTTAAGTTGCCCCATAATCTGATCCAGTTAGATTTGGGCTTCTGTACCAGGGTTGTTTTTGATGATACCAGCTTCTTCTTTAGTGCTTACCACCAATTTTTTTATTTTTTGGAAAGTGCCCTTAGGCTTAAACTTCCTCACACTGTTTCACAAGAAGTCAGTTCATCTGGAAGGAGCTTTGGAGCTTTCTGTTCTAATGGATTGCCTCTCCCCCTGGCAGAATCTCTAAGCCCCTGCTCTGGAGCTGATGTCAGAGACACTGACCCAGTTCTGTCAGAGTGACACTCCTGTTTTATGAGCAGAGACCTGGGCAGGGGTGATAGCCTCTGGTCCTCTCAGCTCTCATCTCTGTTGTGGAACCTCTGCCCTTTTAGTGATCTGTGTGAGGGTGATCAAGGCCCAGTATTCCTGTCCTTCTGCACCTGAGGTTCAGCCACTGTCCTGTGAGTGGGGCTGAGTGGAGGAAGGGAGTCCTCAGTCTCTTGACCATATTCAGCAGGAATTTATTCTCTGCAACTTGTAACTGGAGAGGATTGAGCAATATTGGTGGCCTGCCCCTCTGGTGATATACTCTATCCCTTGACTGGATGCCGAGGGAATAGAAGGCCCATTTTTTTGGACCTTACTCATCTGGAGTGGAGCATCTGTCTGAGCTGTGAAGTCAGGGTTGGGGGAAAAGAAGGAGGGTCATGGCCCAAGTACTGCAAACTTTCACTATTCAAGATTTAGTGGATTTTCTTGAATAGATGTTTCTTAATTTGTTGTATGTCCTTAGTAAAATTTCCAGGGATTTTAAATGCCTGAGTTAAAAAAAAAAGTGTTCTCCAGTTATGGACTTGCAGTAGGGGGCGGACCTGCAGGGCTCCTTGTGCTGCCGCTGAGAAGTGGGGCCTCTCTTCTACTTGTAATGGTTACTTTAGAAATTACAGTGTGTGTGCGCGCTCAGTCATGTCCGACTCTTTGCCACCCCACGGAGCCCTGCCAGGCTCCTCTGTCCGTGAAATTTCCTGGCAAGAATACTAGAGCGGGTTGCCGTTTCCTTCTCCAGGGGATCTTCCTGACCCAGGATCGAACGCACATCTCTTGCATTGACAGGCGGATTCTTTACTGCTGAGCCACCAGGGAAGCCCCAGAAATGACAGTGGTGAATCCTGGCCTAGCAAAGGCTAACATTAATTGATGTCTTTACTCTCTTTCTGATTAATATAAAGACCTTAGAACTGTTTGAAGATGTTTTTAAGTCATACACACATGCATGCACACACATGGAATATACGTATTTCAAATACATATAAAAATATATATCAAATATGTGTAAGTATGTACATACTGTATTTACATAAAGCAAGAACACGAAACAGGAATTAGCTGGTTGCCTACAGTTACGTTGCCGAAGTTCAATTCATATTTTTACAACTTACCAGCTGGTCAGCCTGAACAAGTCCCTCAACTATATCAAACCCCAGTATCTTGAGCCACAGAGTTGAGATAACTATGACCTCCCTTACTGGGTTGTTGTGATAATTAAATGAGCTAATTCGTGTAAAGGGCTTCCCTGCTGGCTCAGTGGTAAAGAATCCGCCTGCCAGTGCAGGAGACGGGGGTTCCATCCCTGGGTCAGAGAGATCCCCTGCAGAAGGAAATGGCAACCCACTCTGGTATTCTTGCCTGGGAAATCCCATGGACGGAGGAGCCTGGCGGGCTACAGTCCACAGGGTTGCAAAAAAGGCAGATCCAACGTAGCAATGAAACAACAGTGCATCTATAGCACCATATACACAATGCACAGAGCACCATGCTTGACAGACTGTGAGTCCTCAGAGCAGCCAGCTGTGCTAAGAACTAACAGTGATGGTTGGTGGTGATCACTATTCGTCCTCCCGTCCTGGCAGTTCCTCTGCGATGAGGGCGCTGGTATCTCTGGGGACTACATTGACCGAGTGGACGAGCCCTTGTCCTGTTCTTACGTGCTGACCATCCGAACTCCTCGGCTCTGCCCTCACCCCCTCCTCCGGCCCCCACCCAGCGCTGCTCCCCAGGCCATTCTCTGCCACCCCGCCCTGCAGCCTGAGGAGTACATGGCCTACATCCAGAGGCAAGCTGGTGAGTGATTAAGAGGAAGGGAGGAAGGAGACACGAAGGGAGGGACAGGCGGAAGATCGAGTATTAAAGAGCTGAGACTGTGTCCCCGTCCTGCTGACGCGCTGTCTCCCGGTAGACTCAAAGCAGCACGGAGACAGGGCCGTAGAGGGGCGGCCAGACCTGGCCCCTGCAGCGTGGGGTGAGGCCAGGCCCGGGCTGCTGCCACCAAGGACAGCAGGTAGGTCCTGAGTCCTGTCCCATGACACACGTCTCCGCTTCTTCCTCAGTGTTACTGTCCTGGGCACCCAGGGGCGTGTGGTCCTCAACAGCCCCACAGCCCTGACTTCTGGGGTGGGGGAAGGAGTACTGCAGGCCCTAACACCTTACAAGAGGAGAGGGAAACATACCGTCTCTCCTTTCAGCCTCCTCCTTGTTTTCTGTATTCTAGGTGCAAGCCCAGCCAAGGAGAACAGTAAGGAATCAGATTTCTGGAAGGTGCTTCACGAGCCAGAGGAACAGCCCTCAGCGAGGGAGACCCAGGCCGAGGTGAGAGCCAGCTTCCTGGTCATTTCTCTGAGGACGCTGAACATGGGCTTCGGGTCGGAGGGCCACTCAAGCTGAGGTTCATTATGAGATGACCTCTTTTTACCTAGGGATGCAAGGACATACCCAGAGGCAGTGCCTTAAGAGTGTGGTTGGCATGCAGAAGCCTGCGTACTTGACTCTGCCCTTTTCTCCCCATCAGGAGCAGGAACCAAACCTTGAAACCACAGACCCACGGCCAACCTCTCCCGACGGTGAGTGAACGCTCCATGTCTCCTGTGTGCGTGCGTGTGTTTTCAGGTTGGTAAGCATGGCGTGGAGGGAGGCTGGGCGCTTCTCTAGGACAGCAGAACACGGTTCCACTGCTTGCCTGACTCTATAGTCCTGGATAATTTCACTTAAGCCCAATTTCCTCACCCACAACATGTGGGCAGTAACCCCTACGTGAGAGGGCTGTTACAGGATTAAATGAGAGTGAATCTAGTTTACAGTACAATCCCTGGAACTGAGCAGACAAAAACGGGCTTGTATTTGTGGGAAGAGCAGGATTCACGGAGGAGGAGCCCTTGGCCCCAGAATCTCTTCTGTGGACCTAAAAGCCGGGCTGATTGCCAGGAAGGCCCCGGTGGCACGTGGACGAGCAGGGCACTCGGCAGCCTGCTCACATCCTTCTCGCTCTCAGCTGTGAGGCCCCCTTAGGCCCCCCGAGTGCTCTCTGGAGGGGTGTGTTGGCTGCTGTCTCTCAGACCAGACAGGTAGTTCCTGGAGCCGGGGACCATGTCCTTCCTTGGCTTCCTCAACTCCTCTTCTTAGGAAGTCAAAGTAGAATTAATTTATGATCTATTCCTATTCCTCCATCTCAGATTTTCAGAACAACGTACAGGTCAAAGTCATTAGGAGTCCCGCAGACTTGATCCGATTGATAGAGGAGCTGAAGGGTGGAACAAGAAAGGTGTGAGCCTGCTCCCGGGAAGGATGGAACCCTTCTCCCTGCTGAGGGCGCCCGGAGCACCACCCCTGAACTGGGCCCGAAGAGTTGCCTCAACTTCCTCACTCCTCATGCGTCCCCAACTAAACCACATCCCTGCTGTGTGCCGCGCCCCCCGCCCCCGCCACTGTCTGTCCCTACGGAAACCCCAACCATCTGCCATCTCTCTTTCTCCTGATCCTCACCCATCCAGGGGAAGCCAAACGCAGACCAGGAGCAGCCTGGAGAGAGTGCTACAGAAGGCCCTTCCGGGGAACCGGAGGTGGAGGAAAGGGGTGGCCCAGAACAGCAGAAGGAGGTGGAAGAGGAGGAGGAAGATGAGGATGAAGGCGAAGACGAGGATGAACGGCAGCTGCTGGGGGAATTTGAGAAGGAACTGGAAGGTATACCGCTCCCATCAGACCGAGAGCGGCTCCGGGCGGAGGTGAAGGCTGGCATGGAGCGGGAGCTGGAGAACATCATCCAGGAGGTGAGCTCTGCTCTCCCGCCTGCGGCTTCCCGCTTCCTCCGCTGCCAGCGCCGGTAGGCGGGACCGGTCGAGGGGCGGGGAGAGAGCCCGAGCCACACCTCGCCTGCCTGGGGCATTCAGCCAGGAGCCCTGAACTGCTAGTTGCTTAATTAAAACTGGGAAGGGGATCTGTGAGAAGGATGAGACTTAGTCAGTACTCCCTTGTAGAGCTTGGACGACCCCTCACTCCCCAGATCCCTAACTCTCCACCGCCACCTTGGGCCTCCCAGACAGAGAAAGAGCTAGACCCAGACGGGCTGAAGAAGGAGTCAGAGCGCGAGCGGGCCATGCTGGCCCTGACGTCTACTCTCAGCAAACTCATCAAAAGGCTGGAGGAAAAACAGAGCCCAGAGCTGAGGAAGAAGCACCGAAAAAGGAGGGTTGTCCCCAAAAAGCCTCCCCCGCCCCCTCAACCAACAGGTGAGGGCTGTCAGACAGGACCTGGCGGCCAGGTCCGTCACCTTTATCCCTTCTGAGAATGTGCACCCTCTCGCTCTTTCTGGAACACCATTCTCGCGCTTCCCAACACCTCTAGCTCTTTGCCTGGTCACTTCCTAGTGATCCATTTGAGAAGCAGCTTTCAGAGCCTGCGTGGCTCGCTGGCATGGCTGTTACCTGGCTTCTGTACATCCAGTGTGGAGCACTTTGCCGGCAGCTTGTGACTGATGAGGAGATGTTAAATGAGTGACTGTGAGTGTGTGGGCCAGAGACTGCGCACCTGTGACAGATGCTGCTGTCACCCAGGACTGCACAGGGCGTGCCCTCAGCTGGCAGAGAGGGAGGGCCAGCCCAGCTACTCGGAAGCCAGTCGCCTGGACAGAGTCACTCCCTTCCCATTGTGTCCCGGTGTCTGTCCCATGGGTCCTGTGGGACAGGAGACCAGGCGTTCCAGGTCTAACGTCCTAGTTTCAATCCTTCCATCCTCCTACCTCTATTATAAACACTGAAATGTCTTTCAAGTCCCAACATAGGGTCCAAACCAAAGTCTTCCGACCTCCTTCTCTGCAGGCCCCAACTTCTCTGATTTTTGCTTCAAAGATAGTGGCTTTCCTGTGGGTGATGGGCAGAATTACTGGGTCCAGAGGGAGGAAAGGAGACTGCAGTCCGTGGAGGGAGCTTTACAGCTTGGAATGGGGAGGGGGTGGGGGGATGGGTCCTAGTTTATTCTGAAGGCTGACTGACATACCTGTTTGAGAGGGAATGACTTGCCGAAAGCAGCTGACGGCCAGAGAGAGGCGAGCACCCCGGCCCCAGCCCTGGGGTCACGGCGCTGTTTTGTGTCTCCCTGTGTGTCTCCCCCTCTAAGAGGAGGATCCTGAGCACAGAGTCCGGGTCCGGGTCACCAAGCTCCGTCACGGAGGCCCCAATCAGGATCTGACTGTCCTCGAGATGAAACGGGAAAACCCGCAGCTGAAACAAATCGAGGGGCTGGTGAAAGACCTGCTGGAGAGGGAGGGACTCACAGCCGAAGGTGGGCCCTGGGGGGCGGGCTGGATTCAGAGCTGTTGGAAGGGCTTGCTGCCGGAAGTGGAGGGGCTGGGGACCTCGGCTGGGGACCCAGGGGGCAGAGGACCTGCACTGGAGCTGCCCCCTGGCCTCTCCTCTCACTGCCCATCCCACTCCTTTCCAGGGAAAATTGAGATCAAAATTGTCCGACCAGGGACAGAAGGGACTGAGGAGGATGCACGTTGGCTGACTGATGAGGACACAAAAAACCTCAAGGAGATTTTCTTCAATATCTTGGTGAGAGGCACCCCGCCCCTGAGTCCTGGACTTCCCGCCTTCCCTGTCCCCCAGCAGGCTGCGGGGTTGAGGGTGAGGTTTAGCGTCCTCCAGGCACCCCCAGCCTCGCCTCTACCCAAGCCTCAGTTTGCTCATCTATAAGATGAGGCTGTCAGTTCTGGGTGTTGGGGTCTCAGCAAGAGCCCTACAAGTCTCCCGTGTGAGTGCTGGCTCCTGCTGCCCCCCAGCAACCGCGCGCCCGCCCCCCAGCCCGTCCCCCAGTGCCTGCTGCGGCCGCTGCTCATCCCGCTCCCCAGCCCGCCCTGCGGCCTTCCCCCAGGTGCAGGGAGCGGAAGAGGCCCAGAAGGAGCGGCAGCGGCAGAAAGACCTGGAGAGCAACTACCGCCGGGTGTGGGGCTCCCCCGGCGGGGAGGGCACCGGGGACCTGGATGAGTTTGACTTCTGAGACCGCCACCGCCAGCTTGCCAAAGAGTCCGGAGTCTTCCTAGACCGGCCCTGCCTCTGTCCCCCACGACCCCCGGGGCCCGGAAGGCGAAGCAGCAGAGAGCTGAGCTGTGAGCTGTGGGCCCCGAGGCCCTCCTGGGGTGTGGAGGGGCGTGGGGCAAGTGCTGCTGCTGCTGCGGAGACCTGGAGGCCTCCCAGGCCTGTGTGATCTGCTGCCCCTGCTTCTGCCCACACCCTCTCCCTTCCCTCCTGGCTTCCCCTGCCGTCATGCCCCAGCTCATGGGTTCCTTTCCCCTGCCTAAGAGCGTTTTGAGATCTTTTGAGTAGAGCAGGGAGAGTGAGAAGAGTGGGGCCGGTCAGCAGGCCCTAAGGGGTAGGCCCCCCGCCCCTGCCCTAGTCCTGTTGAGTCACCTCCCTGCTTCCCCCAGATCAGCTTGAGATAGTCCCTTTTCCTTTCCACACTGTTCCCTACAAATCTGTGCTTCTGAGTGGAAGCACCTTCTCTCTGTTGCTGAGAAAAATGGGAAGAAAGTTGCCCACCACCTCTGACACAATCCCACGAAAAGGGTAGGCTACAGACCCACCTACCATGTTCTCGAACAATCAGGTTTCTAAATAAAGAACTGGACCATCAAAGCATCCATCTTTTTTTCTTTGGGGTGGGGGGCTCATCAGGGAGGAGACCTGGTGTTCTCCTAGGGTGGAGGGCATGCGCCCTGATCCCCTTCTGTGCTTCAGAGTCAGGGCAGCGGCAGTGATCTGGGGCGTGCAGAAGAGACCAGGACAGTGGAACGGAGCCTGCCGGCTGGCCGGGGCTAGAACAGTTGCAGTGCTGGGCGCCCTCCTTTTCCTCCTCTGTCCACTTCTGTTCCTTCTCCCCCTGCACATCCCACAGCGTCACCCCGCCACGGGGGTCCTCCTGCTGCAGACTCCACCCCACACCTGCCAGCCATACCCCTTCATTGCCCAGAAAAGACCTCTAGCTTCAGTCATACCCAGAGAGAGGGCTGCCACTCACACAGGCCCGCTCCTGAGTCTGCCAGTGTTGCTGGCCTGGTTAGGTGCCTCCCTCTCTTCCTCACGACCAGGTGCAAATCTAGGTCCCCCGCTTCCCCTATGTCTTCCTCTGTCTGCACTTCTCAGGTGCAGCATTTCTGCCGACAACTTCACTGACTCGTGACTTAAGAAATGGCGTGAAACTCCCAGGCCTCCAAAAGGGGACAAAAAGATTCAGTTGTGGAAGGAAGCTGTATGAGGCTCACCCTCTTCCTGCTGAAAGTGGTCTTATACTTGCTGAGCAAGTTATACTTACATTATTTTATTTAAAATTACAAATGGGTAGGCTTCTAAACCCTGCAACCCCAGATCCACTTGTGCATCTTAACGAGAGGGATCTAAGACACCTCCACAATAGCAGCTACAGGCAGAATGGTGGATTCAAACCCTCACCCCCCCCCCCCCCACTTACTGTTAGCAGGGCCTTGAACAAGCTGTTTGATTTTTGCAGTGCTGTGTCCTCCGGGGTAAACTGTGGACAACTGCACTGGCCTTGGGTGGTGGTGAGGATTGCATCAGACAGCGTGTGTGCTGCGCTCTTAGCACAGTGCCTGGCCCACAGGAAGTACTCAGAACAGAATAAACTAGCTGAGCTCTGAAGAGACTGGAAGGTACTTGGAGACAAGAGTCATGGAAGGAATACCATCAGAAGCTGTAGCAGAATTTTGTAGGATGGGAGCGTGGGGACAGGCAGGAGGCTTATCTGTGACTTGATGGAGGCATAAAGGCTTAACATCATCAGGAAAAACAGTGCATATAAGTGCACATGGAATATTCTCTAGGACAGACCATATACTAGGACACAAAACAAGCCTCAAAACATTTAATTGGATAGAAATTATTTCAAGTATCTTTTTTGATTATAAAAGCATGAAACTAGAAATCAACCACAAAAAAGAGAAACAAAAAAAACCAATTACACAGATTAAACCATGTGGTACTAAAAAAAACAATGGGTCAATGATGAGATCAAAGAGAAAATTTAAAAATACCTTGAGACAAATGACAATGAAAAGATAACCGTACAAAATCTATGAGATGCATTAAAAGCAGTCTTTAGAAGGAAGTTCATGACCATACAGACCTTCCTCAGAAAACAAGGAAAATCTCAAATAATCAACCTGGAGAAAGAAAAAGAAGAACAAACCACCTACAACAAGCAGAAGGAAGAAAACAAAGATCAAAGAGTAAATAAAATAGGGATTTAAAAAAAACAACAATAGAAAAAGTCAATGAAGCCAAGAGCTGAGTCTTTGAAAGGGTAAACAAAATAAGAAAAACCTCTGGCCAGGCACACCAAAAAGAAAAGAGAAAGGACCCAAATCAAATAAGAAATGAAAGAGGAGAAATAATACTGTAGAAATTTTCAAAATGTAAAAAATACTATAAACAATTAAGTGCCAAAAATTGGACAACCTAGATGAAATGGACAAGTTTCTAGAAATATATTCCACCAAAACTGAATCAAAAAGAATTAATCTGAATAACCTAATCATTAGAAGTGAAATAAAATTTGTAACTTAAAAACAATAAAATACAACTCCCTGCAAACAAAAGCCCATGACCAGGTGGCTTCACTGGGGAATTCTACCAAACTTATAAAAGAAGAAACTATACTGATTGTTCTCAAATTCTTCCAAAAGACTGAAGAGGAGGGAACAGTCCCAAGTCATTCTATGAAGCCTCCATCATTCTGATACTAAAACCAGACAAAAACACTACAAAAAAAGAAAATTACAGGCCAATATCTTTGAAGAATACAGACACAGAAATTCTCGACAAAATATTAACAAGCTGAATCCAACAAAGATCATGTACCATAATCAAGTACAGGCCAATATCTTTGAAGAATATAGACACAGAAATTCTTGACAAAATATTAACAAGCTGAATCCAACAAAGATCATGTACCACAATCAAGTACAGGCCAATATCTTTGAAGAATATAGACACAGAAATTCTCGACAAAATATTAACAAGCTGAATTCAACAAAGATCATGTACCACAATCAAGTTGGATTCATCCTTGAGACAAAGGATAGTCCTTGGGACAAGGATACAAAGATCAATGTGATACACCACATCAACATAAAAAAAGACAAAAGCACAGGATCATCTCAATAGATGAAAAAAGGCATCTAATAAAATTCAACATCTATCCATATTTTAAAGAAAACTCTGACCACAGTGGGTACAGAAGGAACATATCTCAACATAATAAAAGCCATTTATTTATGACAAACCTACAGATTATATAATACTCAATGGTGAAAAGTAGAAAGCCTCCTTGCTAAAATCTGGAAGAAGACAAGGATGCCTACTCTCATGAAAGTATTGGAAGTCCTAGCCATAGCAATCAGACAAGGAAAAGAAACACAATGTATCCAGATTGAAAGGAAAGAGGTAAAACTGCCATTTATGCAGATGACATTATACTAGGTCAAAAAATTCTAAAGATACTACACAACACAACAACTGATGAACGAATTCAGCAAGATCCAGGATACAAGATTAACATACAGAAATCTGTTGCATTTCTTTACACTAACAATGAAATGTCAGAAAAGGAAAGTAAAAAAAAAAAAAATCCCTGTTAAAATAACATTATCAAACAAAAACAAACAAACTTAGGAATAAACCTGACCAAGAAGGTGAAAGACTTACATGCTGAGAACTATAAAACATTGATAAAGGAAATTGAAGATGATTCAAAGAAATGGAAATATAGCCTGAGCTCTTGGATTGGAAGAATTAATATTATTAAAATTGCCATACTACCAAAGCAATCTATAGATTTAATGCAATTCCTATCAAAACACCCATGACAGTTTTCACAGACCTGGGACAAATAATCCTAAAATGTATATAGAATCATAATAAAAGATCCAGAATTCCCAAAACAATACTGAGAAAAAAGAACAAAGTTAAGAGACATAACCCTACCAGACCCCAGACCATACTACAAACCTACAGTAATCAAAACAGCATGATACTGGCAAAACCAGAAAAATGAACAAACAAAAAACCAGACATATGGATTAATGCAACAGAATAGAGAGCCCAGAAACAAGCTCATACACCTATGGTCAATTAATCTTTGACAAAGGAGGCAAGAATATTCAATGGAAAAAAAGGCAGTCTCTTTAGCAAGTGGTGTTGGGAAAGTTGGACAGCTGAATGTATACCAATGCAGTTAGAACACTCCCTTACACCAATCACAAAAATAAAGTCAAAATGGCTTAAAGACTTAAACATAAGATATGACACCATAAAATTCCTAGAAGAGAACATATGCAAAACATTTTCTGACATAAATCATATTGTTTTCATAGGTTAGTCTCCCAAGGCAATAGAAATAAAAGCAAAAATATGCAAATGGGACCTAATCAAACATAAGCTTTTGCACAGCAAAGGAAACCATAAATGAAATGAAAGGACAACCTATGGACTGGGAGAACATATTTGCAAATGATGCAACTGACAAGGGCTTAATTTCCAAAATATACAAACAGCTCATACTACTCAGTAACAACAATAGAAACCAACTGAGTCAAAAAATGGGTAGAAGACGTAAACATTTCTCCAAAGGAGACACAAATGATCAATAGGCACATGCAAAGATGCTCAACATTGCTAATTATTAGAGAAATGCAAATCAAAACTATGATGAGACATCCCCTCACACTGGGCAGAATGGCCTTCATTAAAAATGTGTACAAATAATAAATGCTGGAGGGGGTGTGGAGAAAGGGAGCTCTCCTACAGTGTTGGTGGGGATATATATTGGTGTAACAAGTATGGAAAACAGTATGGGGGTTCCTTAAAAAAAATAGAGTTGCCATGTGATCCAGCAATCCCACTCCTGGGTTTATATCCAGAGAAAACTAATTCCAAGAGATACATGTAGTTCAATGTTCATTGCAGCACTATTTATAATAGCCAAGACATGGAGGTAGCCTAAATGTCCATCGACAGATAAACAGATAAAGAAGGTGTGGCGCGCGCACACACACACACACACACACAGAGGAATACTACTTAGCCATAAAAAAAGAATGAAATAGTGCCATTTGTAGCAACATGGGTAGACCTGGAAATTATACTATATAAGTCAGAAAGATAAATATCATATGATATCACCTATATGTGGAGTCTAAAATATGACACAAATGAACTTATTTATAAAATAAAAACAGACTCATAGATATTGAAAGCAAACTTCTAGTTAACCAAAAGGGAAAGTGGGTGGGGGAGGGATAAATTAGGAGTGTGGGATTAGCAGACACAAACTGTTATATATAAACAACAATGTCCTACTGTATAGCACAGGGAACAAACCATATTAAATACCTTGTAATAAATCATAGTGGAAAAGAATACCAAAAAATATGTATATACATGTGGGTGTATATATACACATATATGTGTATATGTAACTGAATCACTTTGCTGTTCACCAGAAACTAACACAACATTGTAAATGAACTACATAATTCAATAGAAAATAAAAATAAATAAAAAATAAAATAGAGCTCTGGAGACTTTGCTAGATTTAATTATTTTGTACTTTCAGTAATACA